AGGGACCGGTGGGGGCCCAGGAGGTGGGAATGGGGTTCCCGATGGGATGGGGCAGCGGCGCTATAGGACCCAGATGAGCAGCCTACAGCTGAAGATCATGAAAGCCTGCTATGAAGCGTACCGCACCCCCACCATGCAGGAGTGCGAGGTGCTGGGGGAGGAGATCGGGCTGCCCAAGAGAGTCATTCAGGTCTGGTTCCAGAATGCTCGTGCCAAGGAAAAGAAGGCCAAGCTGCAAGGGATGGCCGTTGGGGGAAATGGGGCCAACAGCGAGGGCTCCTTAGCAGCCCAGCGTACCGACTGCCCCTACTGTGATGTCAAGTATGACTTCTATGTCTCCTGCCGAGGCCATCTCTTTTCCCGCCAGCACCTGGCCAAGCTCAAGGAGGCAGTCCGAGCCCAGCTGAAGAGCGAAAGCAAGTGCTATGACTTGGCCCCAGCACCTGAGGCAGCCCCAGCTCCCAAGGCTCCACCTGCCACCACACCTGCCTCCATGCCCCTGGGGGCTGCTCCAGCCCTGCCTCGCCTGGCCCCAGTCCTTTTGTCTGGCTCAGCTCTGGCCCAGCCACCACTTGGCAGCTTAGCTCCTTTCAATTCAGGTGAGTGGGGCAGTTGCCCTTGCTTTTCCTTCCAGACTCTCCCATGTCCAGTCTCTTCCTGTGGCCTTCCTTTGCTCTAGGGCAGTGGCGGCGAATCTATGGCATGAGTGCCACAGTGGGCGGTTTGTTATTGAAAGCTCTAAAAGGGTTGCCCTCACTGCCTAGGCTCTTAGGGGAAAGGAGGGAAGGGAGTGTGGGAACTGGGTGATGGGAATGTGGGTGTGTGGCAGGAGGTGGTCCAAAGCTGGCATGTCAGTGGAGGCAGGACATGGCTAATCCTTCATCACCTTTTCATCTTGATAGGCCCTGCAGCCTCCTCAGGCCTCCTCAGCCTTGCTACTTCAGTCCTGCCTACTACCACAGTGGCCCCAACTGCTGGCCCAGGCCACCCCTTACCTCAGAGACCTGTGCCCGGCCAAACCAACACCGCCACAGCAAGCACCACTGACCCTGTCCCCGGCCCGCCTCCTGAGCCCTCGGGGGACAGGGTCTCTGGTGAGCGAAAGCCAGTTACAGCCCCTATCAACTCCTCCACTGATGCCCTCAAGAACCTCAAAGCATTGAAGGCCACTGTCCCAGCCCTCTTGGGAGGCCAATTCCTGCCCTTCCCTCTTCCCCCTGCAGGGGGGGCAGCACCGCCAGCTGTCTTTGGCCCCCAGTTACAGGGGGCCTACTTCCAGCAGCTCTACGGCATGAAGAAGGGGCTGTTTCCCATGAACCCCGTGATACCTCAGACCCTCATTGGGCTGCTCCCCAATGCCCTGCTCCAGCCACCACCCCAGCCCCCTGAACCCACAGCCACAGCACCTCCAAAGCCACCTCCTGAACTGTCACCTCCTGGGGAGGGAGAAGCTGGCGAGGCTGAGGAGCTGCTGACAGGCAGCACTGGCATCTCCACCGTGGACGTGACTCACCGCTACCTGTGCCGCCAGTGCAAGATGGCATTTGATGGGGAGGCCCCAGCCACCGCCCACCAGAGATCCTTCTGCTTCTTTGGGCGGGGCTCTGGGGGCTCTATGCCTCCCCCACTACGGGTGCCCATCTGCACCTACCACTGCCTGGCATGCGAGGTGCTTCTGAGTGGCCGTGAAGCCCTGGCCTCCCACCTGCGCTCTTCGGCCCACAAGCGCAAGGCAGCCCCACCCCCAGGGGGCCCACCCATCACCGTCACCAACACCGCCACTGCTGCCACGGCTGCTGTGGCTTTTGCCAAAGAGGAAGCAAGATTACCTCACACGGACTCCAACCCAAAAACTACGACTACCTCTACACTTCTAGCTTTATAAACAGATAAACCAAGATGGGGAGATGGGAGGGCTCCTACTTTTACCCCAAGGGGTGTTTGGTGGGAGCTCAGATCCCTGGCCCCAACCTTCGGCTCCGCCCACCTCATGGGAATCTTTCAGTTCCCACCCTCAGTGGGCCTCACACACCCCACCTCCAGCAGAGTCCTGCCTCCTCCCTTGCCCCACAGACACTGATCCTTATCCGCAATCCTTGCAGATGTCACCCTTGCCCCTATATCTTCACAGACACACACAGAGACCTTGGCATCCTTATTACTCATAACCTGTCTGCCTGCCATACACAAAATATACCCTTGGTTCCATCTTCATTTTCCCCACTGAATCCCAGCACTCCCCCACTCTAACACACTGTCCCCTGTATCCCACTGACAAAAAAAGAAAGAAGAAAAGAAGAAAGAAGAAAACCCAAGACAAAGAAGGGGGACAGAAAAGAAACTTCGCCACTCCCTCTTCTTCCCACCCCCTTGTCTAGAGCTTCATACTGCTCAGACTTTCCAAAAACACAGTGGGCTCCCAAGTTTGGAGCCTGGAATGGGCAGGGAGCCCATAAAACTCTTAACCAAACTGGAGGTTGGCAGGGGGAGAAGGGCTCCCAGCTCACTCTCCCCACCCCCTGCCCTCCTAACCCTCTCCTCGCCTGACAGGGCCCGGCCCCTTTGGCCTGGACTCTAGGAGAAGCCGCCCCAGGCACCCCTCTGCCAGCCCCACCCTGCACCCTGGGAACTACAGTAGTTTATTCTCAAAGGCTTTAAACACAGAGATCCTCTCAGCAGCCATGGGCCTGCCCCTTGTCGTACCCCTGCTATGGGGCAGTTCAGCCTCCAGGGACCGGCGCTGCCCACCAACGGCAAATCCAAAGTTATTTTAAAAAGACTGAAACACACAACCAAAAAACGAGAGCGAGAGAGAGTGTGTGCACATGCACACAAAAGAGAGATGGAGAGATCAGAGAAATGAACTAAAGAAAAACAAACTTGGAAAATACAAAAAAAAAAAAAAAACCTCTCCCATCAAACAAGTGGGTTTTTTTCCTGTTTGTGCCACCCCTCCCCCATCTTAAGGGTGTCTTTAAACCACTTTGTCTCTGGAGGACCAAATGGCTTTAACTTCTTGCTGGTGTCTGGTGATCCTCATGGGACTGGAAGCAGTGTGGCCTGAATCGAGTATTTACAAGATAGGTAATATAGCCCCTCATTCTCAGTTGTCAGAAAAAGTCAGTGTCACTGGAAGTATCTTGGCAGTCTGAGAAAGAAAGGGTGACTTTGTTTTGTGAAATGGAGGTATGCATCTCTTTCCCCTACCACCATTTCCACTCATTTACTTTTTCTACAAACCTGCTCTTCCCCTCCCTTGTGGCCCCATTACATTTCTGGACACTGAACCTTCTTTGTTTTTGCAGGGTCCCTGGCTCCCCATCCGCTTTTCCTTCCCCTTATCCTCAATCCTTGGTCCTGCTCTCTCCAGCCTAGCCCAGCTCAGCTCCTCCATTACACAGCAGGCATCCACAAAGGACCCAGGGGGGGTCTGGAGCTGACATCATTTGAGACAGTGGGTGTACAAGGAGAGGACTGAAGCCCAAAGTGAGTCTTTGATAGGGTGCTGTCACTAGGGGATCCCACACGAAGACTCACCAGGGAGAAGCTTTCTCACCTCACTGCCTCTATAACTCCCTCTCTAAAGAGGGAGAGAGAAAAGTCAACTCAGTCCTTGGTCCCCATGTATTCTGTGAATATTACTTCCTGTCCCATCTACTTTTAAAATTAAAAATTACTATCCTAGCCAATTGCAGGCAGGGTGGAGCTAGTTATTCTGATGATACCAAAAATGCCAGTTACAGATGTAGGCAACAGGAGAGAAATGACCTGCTGTGGTCTGGCGCTTGCTGCTGTCCTTTTCTTGCCTCTTGACACCTCTCTGGTACCCCTCCCTCCCTGTCCTTTTCGCTGTCCAGTTGAAGTTCTGTGTATAAAACTATTTTCTTAGCAGCATGTACATGAGGAAAGAAGCTTTTTCACTCTGCTTTCTGGGAATGTGACTCATGTATAAAACTTGAAAAAAAGGAGAAAAAGAGATGTTTTAAAGAAAACTTTGGCAAATACCTAGCACTGGATGATCAGAAGCATGGTATCATGCATCGTAGGGACTTACAGTCAGGATAGGTTGGCTTTATTTTGAACTGTGAATGTTTTCATCAAAAGTTAATACAGCCAGAAATTCTCCTCTTGCCCTCCAACACCTCACACCTAAACACTCTGGCCTAGGAGGCACTGTTGTAAATTCATAGTGCAAATGAAGAGCTGACACTAAACAACTATACCCTGGAATTTGGGGGGCAAAAGAGCTTGGCTGACTGCTGACTGGTCAATCAAAGTGCTTCTTGAGGGTGCACGGTTCCCAGGGAGCACATTCCCAGGGAGCATTCTTCCCCAGTCACTTTCTCATACTAGACATCCCTAGAAGTGACCTTGCTTCAGAGAACAACACATAGTGGTAGTTCTGGAGGACAAAAGGCTGAGTCACCATACCCTTGTGCAGAATACTAGAGGTGACCGCCATGTTACTAAGATCTTGTGGAGTAACAGACTTAACTGCAGTGCCTGGCACATCAATGCCTATTTTACAGCACCCCATCCCACCCTATCCATAATATAAGCCTGAACTGATGGCTCATAAGACTGATATTCCACAGCTTGGGGCAAAGAACTAAGATTTCTGAAATATGCAGTCCTGTGCTCACTTTGGCAGTACATATACTAAAATTGAAATATGCAGTTCTAAAGAAGCACCCAAATTCAGGTTTCTGCTTACTGCCAGAGACATTACTGAGAGGCAGGAAGTATAAATGATCTTGGCTGTCTTTGTTCTAGACCAGAATCTTTGTGAGGGTACCTTAAGGTGCCCAATTGTTAACTAGGAGCAAAAATAAAAGTCTGCTGAATATGAGAAAATCTAAAGCCTTAGTGGCCAAATGGGGCAATATCTGCAGCAGGACCACAAAAGGAAACCTGTTCTTACCCTCTCCCTTTACCCAGAGTGTACTTAAGCATGTGTAAGAACCAAGAAAGCCCATTATTCCAGGCATAGTAGTACCCACCTGCTTATTCTATTTGTTCCTCATCCACTTGCAGGACTTATAGACCAGATCATTTATTCCTCCAAATCTCCACATCCTGGCCAATTTTAAGACATGTTCATCCAATCATTCATCCTTGTAAAGATATTCACACCTGAAATACAGAGCTCTGTGTCTATAAGTATACCAGCAAAATAGGCCAACCCACACTCAGAAAGAGAAGCAGACCCCAGCTGGAAGGTCTCCAGGGATACACGCAAGTGCTAGCAAGGTATCCCTTAGAGAGAGGGAGACATAGGGGGGAGAGAGAGAGAGAGAGGAAGAAGAGAAGAGAAGAGGAGGAGAGATTGTCCCAAGATCATACTTTACTCTCACAGAGTAGAAACACTCGCCAATACATGCTAGTTTTCCTCGAACTAAAGTAGGTAAGGAATGGGGAAAAGGACCTTAAATGACTCTGGAGTCCAAGTAAATGATTCTGGAGTCCAAGGAGGAGAGGTAGAAAAGACATTAAGAGGAAAGTTTTGGAAAGATTCTTACATTTTGTTCTTTGAGACAGGGTCTCAGTATATATTTCAGGCAGGGCTTGAACTCACTATGTAGCCCAGGCTGGCCTTGAACTCACAGTGATCTTCCTGCCTCAGCCTCCTAAGCACTGGGATTATAGGCATGTACCACCACACCTGGCTTAGAAAAATTCTTATATCACCCTGAATCAGGGGAAAGTGGGCTGAGACAGGTGTTACAGAAAGAGCCTGGCATGTGGGGAGAAGGGAAGTCATTTCTCTCAGACACTAGTCAAAAACTTGTATATGTGAGAGTATCATTTCTAGAGGACACAGATAATACCAAGAGAACACATGCTACAAAAAAAGGAGCAGACCAAGCATCAGGGCCTATATGATTATAGTTTGGATACAGTAGGAAAAGATCAAATGAAACAAAAGTTGAGAGAGACCATTGGTAGCAAACCTAGACCACTGTCCATCAAGTGTAGGGAAAGATGGGAAGTAATCCCAAGTGAAAGCCCCTTCTGGGAGAGACTACACTTCACAGGAAGGCATTGGGTGACACCCTGGGTGATCCAACTGAGTAACCATCCAGTGCAGTCAGCCCTCTGCACAAAGCACAGACACGGGATAATTGTCATTATACCCTGTCAGTCTGAGCCTAGTGTTTCTTTCAGTTCCCTGACCACAGAGCTGTGCATAGCTACTATCTAGTGGAGAAGCAGGTTGAGTAACACAGGTGGACCAGAAAGAAGCCTAACCCATCCATGTAGCCTTATCCAACCATACTCACATTCTTTGACAAGAAATAGCTAAAATACTGTAGCAAGTAATTAGCAGAGGCTCAATGCTGCTCCATACTGCAGTCCCTCCCTGATGTCAAAACTGCACCTTGTCTACTCAGCTTGAAGAATCCCCACACTGCTCACTTCTGGATCCCCACCAAATGCTCAAACAGCAGCAGCTCTGTAATTTGCTTAGCGTGAGCAGTAAGCTTGGCCCTGTACTCTGCTGACTCTACTTCACCACCCAGGATCCAGCCTTCAGGAAGCCATGTGACTAGGGCCTATCCTGTACCGGACACAAAATCCACACAAATCTCACTGGACCACAGAGAACAATCTCCTGGCAATGCTCCTAACCTAATGGTTTTCAATGATAAGGTTTCAGAAACACATGGGCAGAGAGCCATTGAGAATGGGGGTGAAAGGAAGAATGACTTTCACAATGTTTCCAAAGGGATTTTTCTGTGATAAGAACTGCCAATGAAAATCATTACTCTAACAAGTGACATGTGACTGATTGGACTTCACAATCCCTCCCATTCAAAACACATACCACATTCACACACACACTCCAAACATACACATCCAAACATGCCAGCATAAGGATGTAAATACAGCTGAGGAAGAAGAAGCAAAGGCAAGGGAAATCCAGACTAGATCAACTGTCCTACAAAGTGAATGCCATCTCTTAGGACAGTGTTTCTCAGAGTTTGTCCACAAGCATCATGGTCACCTGAACTAGTTTGAAATGCCCATTCCTGGACCACACCTCAGATCAACTGAATTAGAAACTCCTGCTAAAGTGATCTATGCTCTCTGGAAGTTGAGAATCACCAACTAAGAGACCTCATTCTCATATACACCTGTAACTTGCCACACTTTTCCAGCAGCCAGGACCAGCCCTGCTACACACACCCGGGGATCCTGCACAGTGTCCTGGCTTCCCCTCAGGTCTGTCTTCATTACAGGGACACTCACCCACCCTCCAATATATTAAAAATCTAACAGTGTCTTTGACTTGTGGTGGCTGCTCTTGAACAGGAGAGAAAATATAAATGTTGTCCACTCACCCCCTTGGCTGAGTGCCTTCTGCTTTCTCCTCTGCTGTGGAAACCACCTTACTTCTTCTGAAGCTGCCATCCACTCTAGAGATGCTGAAATCAGAACTCTCCCAGCCCCAAGCAGCTCAGTCCCACATGGGCAATGAACGGCTTCGCTTCCCTCTGGACAGGCCTAGCCTCCTCCTTGACATCACCCAGAGCCAAATTTTCCACAGAAGATCTTCCAGGCCACTGACCTAGAGCCTCTTTTTTTCTTTAAACCCAGAAAGCAGGGAAAGCCAATCCAACTGGAAACTCTTTCAGGTGACAGACAGCTCAAGGTTAAATTTTCTAAGGGACAGTCTCTATTACCACAGATACGGGGATTCTTCTCCAAGGGGCCTTTCCCTCTCCCAGAGTTCACTGCTCATCCTCATTCTCCCTTCCAGCACAGATTTTAAAGATATGGAACTCTATCCAACTCCACTTGAGATGTCATTGAGAAATTCCTAACCACAAAATCTCCTTGCATCCTTTCTGGATGGGCAAGTCCCAAATGCCATTGTCTTCCAAACACTTGCCTACCTCTCTAGGCTTAGAATACCTCTCCATCTTTCTAGGACAGTTATTGAATATGAATGAGTTCATCTCAACCATAGCTCAGCTGATCACAAGGTACAAGGTAATTTATACCAGTTACTATAACCCCAATACCCAACAGCAAGGTCTGACGTTCTCTCCTTCCTGCTTTATCCCTTTCAATCTCTTCTGGTATCTTTTCTTTTTCTTCTCTCTCCCAGTGCTGGGGATTGGCTCTAGGGCCTCATGCATGCTAGGCAAGTGCTATACCATTGGGCTACATTCCCAGCCCATTTCTGTGACAACTTAGCGGCATATTTCTCTCCCCAGGCTCTCATTTCATCCTCCTGTTCTTGCTGCCCAGAGAGGTATGCAGTCCATTGGCCTGAAGCCTTGTGTGTGGCTATAGCTGGTGTTTGTGTGCCTCTGTGCTTGTTTCCCTTGGCATGGCCATTCAAACACACTACAGTACCACGTAAATCCATTCTTGGAGGCAGTAAGGAAAAGAGGGAGGTGGATGTCTAGTTAGGAGAATGGCAGAGCTGGGGTGGTCTAAAGAATGCTGTCTCAGCCCAGCTGTTAAGGGTCTCCTCCCTGGCCACTTCCTAGCACAGGGCTCCACCCAATGCCTGCCACTTTGTGTGCGGCCTCCCCTCTCTCCTTGCCACCAAGTGGCGTTGTGAGCACGTTGGGCGGCTTTGGGTTTGCCGCAGTGCCAGGATATGAGGCACTGTTCACAAGCCAGTGCAGCGCTGCCAAGTGTGGCAGCATCTAGCTGGTTGGGTGCCAAGCAGTAGGACCCAGGTGGTGATGGAGAGATGAAAGAGGGGTGAGGCGAAAGGAGGCACCAGAAAGAAAAATCAGACACCTTACTTGTTAGAGTGAAGAGTCCAAATGGGATCGGCAGAAAGGTGCCCTACCTACTCTAGAGCCCAGCTCACCAAGCAAGCCCTGCCCCCCCACGCCTGCGACAGTGGCACATACAGACCAGACTAGAGGGTACGGCCATCTTCAGCGGGAACTGGCTGGAGGCCAAGCAGGACTGGCAGCCGCTCTCCACGCTGCTTCCTTGGGGTCTGAGCAATGGCGCGCTTCCTCTTTTGTGTCCTCACGCTGCTTTCTGTCTGTCATTCCACTCCTTATGCCTAAGAAGAAATGGGAAGGAGGTCCTGGCAGGAAAAAAAGTCTGTTCTCTCAAATAAAGTGCCCCCCATTGCACCTCCTCCCTTCTCACGCCTGGCACAACAATCCTTCCAACCACATTGGCAGGAGGCACTATCACCCATGCCTGTTCTACACCATGCCACAGCTCGTGCCAGTCTCCATGCACAGTGCCAACCTCCCCGCTTCATGCCCCATCCCCTTGCTGTCTCCTTCAGTGCTCTGACAAAGGGCCATGTTGCCAGCCCAAACAAGTTTCCCTGGTCAGTGGTGGCACAGCCCATCCTTGCCAGCTCTGGGACTTTCTTGGCACTTCTGTCTACTCTCCACCACTTTACTTCCCCAGGCTGGAACAGAACCAACCACCTCAAAGTCCAGCCATTTCTTGGAGCTGAGCTTCTAGAAGGACAGAAACACCAGCAACAATTCTTGTCCCTCCTCCCTGCCTCCTGGGTCCGCCATTCCCCACTGCTCCAGCACTGGGCACTGGCCTGACAGATGTGATGCCAACAGCTCCTGTGTACCGTGCCTTCCTCCCAGAGCACTGGGACTCTTGCCGCTGACCCCCTCCATTCACCTCCTCCCATCTCTATGGGCACAGGGATGGCAGCTGCAGTGCCAATGCCCGCAAGCAGGCAGAATGAAGCAACTCATGCACCCTCTTCTCCCCTCCCAGGCCCCACACCCTTCCCCTCCTTCTTCCACTCCATCCCTCTGTCCTTCTGGTTGGACACTAAATTGGCAACCGCAATGCCACCCCCCCACCCATGCCCAGGAGGCTCACACACAGCACACGCTTATACGTACATGTACATGCACGCGCGCGCACACACACACACACACACACACACGGCCCCATGAGTGCCAGGCAGCGGTGGCAGACACACAGCAATGCACAGTGACTGGTACCCGAGGAGGCAGCCAGATTCGGCACCTGATCCAGCACCCATTTGGGATTGGGTGGGTAGGCGGGCGGGCGGAGGGGTGATGGAGGCAGACGATGGCCCTAGGTTGGCAGCCGATGGAGCTGGGAGAATGGAGGGAACAGATGCTCTTTGCCCAGCCTCCCTCCCTTTCCCTCCGAGATCAGTGCCAAGCTGGGGGGGATGGGGGAAGGGGAGGATGGGGGAAGGGTGGCATTTGGAGAGCTGGCAGGCGGGGGAGCTGGGTCCGCCCAGGCTGGGCAGTGCCGGCGCTGGCTGCCGCCTCTCCACTCTGCCATCTGTCTCGCTTCTCTCCCCACCCCCTTTCTCTCTTTTTCTCTCTCTCTCCTTCATCTACAGCAAAATGAAAGAGGAAAACCGGGTCCTCATTCTGCCCACCCCCAACCTCTGCAGACCCCCCTTCCTCCCCACGACTCACCACACCATACCACCACCAAGCCATCTGTGCTCTCTCTCCTCCCGGCTCGGTCACCTTCTTCTACTCGCCTTCCCCCTCATACCAACACAGGTGCAGTTTTAAAAGGTACATACATATCTGTGTATATACATACATAGATATGTATGTATATACACAGATACACATATGTATATATTGTAAAGCAACTAAGAAGAAAAACTATTTTCTTTGGAACGTCCTGTCCTTCATAGTCTAGGTACTCAGTGCCAATATTTATGGCAGGCGGAGGGAGGGGACCCTGTCCTCAGCTGGTGCCCATGAATACCATGCCAGGGAGGAGGGGTGGCTGGGGTGGGGTGGGGTGGGGTATCGGGAGAGCTCTCTTCTCTCTGCGCCTGTGGTTTCTTTTTTTCTGCTCTTCCACTTCCGGAGCAGATTCAAATGGATCTAGAGCCTTCCCCACCCCTAGTCCCAGTTCCCGGGGCCCCTGTGCCCTTCTCCCTGCTTTTGATTTTATTCCTCGATCACCCTTTCTGGGGTTTTTTGTGTGTACGTGTGCGTCCGTGCAAGTGTGTTTGCATCCATGGTGGTGGGCACCGTGCCAGCCACCACACAGCCATCTGCGATGCCTTCTGCAGGCTCTGCTATTTCTCCCTACCACCTCCAGCCCCCAACCCTTCCTGTACCCCAGCTCCCCACTCCCAGTCCCCAGTCGTTAATTAGCTACTGAATTAATTAAATCATGAATGCTAATTAACATTCCTACAGGGCACGCTGCCAGGCTGGGGGGCAGAGGGGATAAGAAGACAAGTGGAGATTAGGAGGAGGAGGAAGGAGAGCTTGTCTGCTGCTTAGAGGAACGCAGGGGAGACAGAAGGAACGCAAAGGAGGGACGAGGGAGAAAGAGTGGCAATGGGCAGGTGGGGTAGGAGGTGGTCATGGAACGCGGGTTTAAAACCTGAGGTCCAAGCGAGTGCAACCCAGCCCTTACCACCCAAAGAAGACACAGCCAATTCCTCGTCTGCAAACTCGCCTCCACCTAGCCCAGCCTAGAGTGGCAACAGCTAATATCCATCAACCAGCCATACTGACCTTCAGACGCGGTCACCAAGAGACTGCTCTCAGTGTGGCCCATCCATGCTATACCTCTGTCCAGGTGAAGGTGTCAATTCAATGGAGACAATCACTAGTGTTGCCTGCATGGCTGCCTTAGAAAGACCGTGAAAAAACAATGCCTGCCTTTGGGGTTTCAGAGTAGAAAAGTAGGCATTCCTACCCATCTGGAAGGTCAAGAATTTGGGGAAAAACCAAGAAAAAGTCATCTAATTTTGAACTGCTACAGTTGCTTTTAAAGAGAGAGATGCCAGTATAGTGAAACTTCTTTCTAGGGGTATTCTGTGAAGCACTAATCTGGTGAAATCCCCTAAAAAAACAAAAGGACCCCTCCAATCAAATTAGTTTGGGGAATATCATATATTTCCTCTTAGGAAATGCATAATGCATACTGGTATGTTAAAGCCTTGAGAAGTCTATTTTAGAGAAAGAAGGAACAGGAAAAGGAGAAAAGGAAAGAAAAAAAGGAAGGAAGGAGGGAGGGAGAGAGGGAAGGAAGAAGAGAGGAAGGAGAAACTATTTACAGTATTTAACCTATTGATTCTCAAACTCATTTGGTCATGGAACCCCTACTTTACAATATTTTTTTTCCAGTTAGGGGATCCAACCCAGAGCCTTGGGCATGCTAAGCAAGCACTCCACCACTGAGCTACAACCTCAGATCTTAATTTTTTTCTCATATTAGTATATGTTTGCCAGACCTTAATTTTTATTTGTATTCTCACAAAGTGTTCTGCATTGGCATCATTAAGGGATCAGGGCAGGTTCTATTCTAGAAGCCCCATTAGGAGGATTATTTCGTTTGTTTTGTTATATTTTGCTTTTTGGTGATACTGGAGATTGAACTCAGGGCCTCAAGCATGCCAGCCAAGCAATCTACCACTAAGCTCTACTTTTACTTTTTATTTTGAGATAGGGTTTCCCTATATTTCCCAGGCTGGTCTCAAACTTGTCCTCCTGCCTCAGCCTTCTGAGTAGCTAAGATTACAAGTGTCTGCCACTGCGACTTGCCTATCGGCAAGGCTCCAACTGTCCATAAACAGGGATAGCAGAAAGGCTGTGTATTCCAAAGTCAGCCCATCTTTTCTATGTGGAGACCAATGGTAATAGCTCATTTTAAAGTCTATAGAACGTTATTAAATTGTTTTTGCATTCTGGGTTCTATTGCATGGGCCTGCTATATTTTATACCCACCCTTCCAGTATACAACAATCCCGGTCCCTCTTCACAAGATAATTCATCACATCATTTTTTTTTTTTTTTGGTACCAGGGATCGAACTCGGGTCCTTGCGCTTGCAAGCCAGGCGGTGGAACCAGAGCTGAATCCCCGGCCCAAAGGTTGTTTGTGTGTGCTGGTTACTTTGGGTTTTTTTGGTCTTTTTTGGTTTTTTTGTTTTTTGTTGGTTTTTTTTTTTTGCTTTTCTTTTTTTTAATTTTTTGGTGCCGAGAACCAAACCCAGGGCCTCATGCTTGCTAGGCAAGCATTCTACCACTGAGCTAAATCCCCAGCCCCTCATCACATCATTTTAAAGAGAGAATAGAGCTTTGAAATACAATTTTCATTTGTCAAAGACATGTACATCCACATTTCCAGGTTACAAGTTTCCTTCCAGCTCTAAAAGTCTATGAATATGTCATCTGACCCCATCTCCTCCTTCCCTCTCTAACCCTTTCCACAGAAGCCTATACTCCTGATGGCCCTGTGACACTGGGCTGGTAAAGCAACCTCAGGGTATGACCCACTGTCCACCTGCTGACCACTCCTCTAGCCAAGAAACCACAGGATTAAGAGGGACAAAGTGACTCAGGTGCCCAACTAGAGAGGAAGAGACAAAAACTTAGATATTCTAACAGGGCAAAGTTTTTAAGGAAAGCATTTCAGGGCTGCTTTTATCCTGAGGTGGCATCTTTGCTAAATTATCCCCTCTCAGTATCAGTGAAAGAGACCAAAGTCCACCCTACCAGAGTCATGGATTTCAATCCACTTGGTGTTCCCTTCTAGAGTCTGTTTTATCTCTCCAACACCTACGCACAGAGCCACCATCAGTAGCAGAGGCACTATGGAGCTGCAATATAAATGATGATTATTAGATTATCAGACAACATTGCCAAGCCTTGCCAGCTCCCTACGATGGTGGCAGCAGAGGCGAGCTACAAAACTCAATACTGATAAACTGTATATTGTCTTCTGGAACCATCACTCTGCCCTGACAGCCACTCTCTAGGCCACCCACCATTAGCACCAATGAGCGGGAAAGAGACTGATTACTGATGCCCTCCCCCTGGGGGCAGGGAAACTAGACAGAGGGATGAAAAGTCCTTAGTCCCACCACTGTTACAGCTCCCCAACATGAACAAGACTACTTGGACCCACATATGATCCCCACCTTAAGGCCTCTGTACTGGCTGTTCTCTGGGCTCAGTGTGCATTTCCCCAGATATCTGCACAGCCAGCTTCCTGCCATCTTCTTGCTCTTTGCTCAGAGAGGCTTATCTTGACCACCCTATTTCATGCAGTTTGGCCCCCATCAATCCCCTTTACCCTGCTCTATTGTTTCTTTTTTCCACTTCATTCATTATCTTCTACCACACTGCATAATTTACTTCCTTATATTTATTGTTTACTTTCTGTTTCATACCTCTGGCAAGTAGCTCCACAAGGGCAGGGATAAAGCCCTGTTCACTGAGGTATCCTAATGTTATTGCTTGTGTCTACATGTCCCCCTGAAGACTCATGTGGTCATAAGTGGCCTTTTCAGAGGTGGCTGGATCTAGTGTATGATGCTGGAATTAAGGGTGTGTGATTAGTAAATTAGTCCACTGATTGGTTTGTCATAGTTCTAGGTAGGATTAAGGGTGGCCCACCATGGGTGTGAGTGCTACCTGCCCTAAGGGTGGGAAGCCTGGATAAAAATATAAGGGATAAAAAGGAGGCTAGTGTGGTACTTGTCACTTGTAGCTCGCTTGCTTGGTGCCTTCTGCCTTCTGTCTTCTGCCTGCCATGAACTGTTTCTCCTCTTTGATGCCCCTTTGCCATATGCCACCCTGCCTTGGAGCCAGCCAATTATGGATTGAAACCTCTACAAACTGTGAGCCAAAATAAACCTTTCCTCCTTGCACTTTGGGTGCTGGGTATTTTATCTCAGCAATGAGCAAAGTAACTAAGACATTGAAGCACGAGTAACAGCGCCTGACACAGAGGAAGTGCTCAAAAATACTTGCTGAGTGAATGAAACTAAGATTCAATGTACATGTTTTACATGTTTCGGTCAGACCTATTTGCTCAATCCTGTCATTTGGAGTTGGGACCAGGGCAAGAGATAGGCCATCATTTTGAGGTTCTGTATTTTCTGGCAAGATGGCTGATACACACCACATTCCCCTCTGTCTCTATCACAGCCTCAAGAATGTGCCAATTAGGGGAACCCGGATGTTTCAGTAGG